ATATATTCACCATAATAACTTTGCCATAATTTTTATGAATATCATATAGATTCATTCAGATTTTCAGATACTGGTGGTATTTATGATAATATGACATATCATGCTTTTGTGCAACTTTCATTCTTAAACTCATTCTTATCATCAATCGATTTCAATGGTCTTACTGCCAATAGTTCTCAATATTCATATTTAAGTTGATTTCATTCTCACCAATATCATTTATATAGCGCTATTCATTTGTTTGTGTCGACACATATTCATTTCCATTATTTCCCCGTAATATATTGAGATATCTCATTATCAATTAATTTCATCGATAATATATATATGCCTCCTTTCATCATTCATTTGGGGAATTTCAATTTGCACAATACCAACGCTTCCAGCGTATCTTTCCACCATCATATCATTTCATATATTTAACCACCATCAGTATCGTTCAGTTTATAATTTGCACACTTTCAGTGTGATGCATATATCATTTTCAAAATTTCAATATTTGATTCTCCCCCTCATCTTAACAGATCCCTGATCTGTATTTTCAGTATTGAGTTTCTTGAGGGGAGTTCATATAATCTCCATTTCGTTCTCGATTTCAACATATAATAGGAGGACTTTGAACTCATATCACTTGTAATGTGCACATTTTCATTTCATGAATTCATCATATGAGCTGATTATATTACTAGCTTCATCACTTTCATATGATACTTATTTTCATTCCTTCACAGCCATCTTGTGTCATTCTTTGATCAAACCATCCCGTAACTTCTGGTTACAAATCACACATGTGGCTATCTAGTGGATCCATAATATCTAGTAGCACACATGGAGGGGTAGTGGGCACATATATATCGTACCCCTTTCATACTCAGTTTGATCAAATATCGATTCACAAATATTTAGCTAGTAATAATTTAACCAATCGAAAAACAAAACATCTCATAATCAGTTAATCATGCAATCATCATCATTTATATCAGTAAACATCACAATAATTCATTGTGACCCATTAAACATATCACATCATCTT